AAATCCTTTTTATTACTATTTTCCATTACATGTATATATATATTGTTACGCTCCAGAACCCAAATCCGAGGACCTGGCAGACGCCGTGCACTCTTATTACTATTTTCCATTACATGTATATATATATTGTTACGCTCCAGAACCCAAATCCGAGGACGTGGCAGACGCCGTGCACTCGTGAGACGAGTCCTACAAGTGCACAAGGCTTGGAGTTTATTCAAATCACATCTCAATCCAATAATTTAGATCGGATATTTCAAAATTTATTCTATGTCCAACATGACTTAATCACAAAATCTCAAGGCAAATCTCTTGTAAACTAACAATCCACTAAATGAATTCATAAAATCTCCGATTAAACTTTAGTTTACAAGATCATGATCTATATCTTAAATCTATATTCACTGTACAAAATGGCTAGCCTTCTAACTCGTCACTCCCCTTGGTTTCCCCGTCCTCGGTTTCGCTTCCTGAAATGATGGACAAGGAAAACTATGAGATAACTCAGTAAGTAAATATGGATAGCCCTTGGGTAAAACTTTTAGCATGCCTGATAACCAGTTTAATCTAACAAAACGCTCAATGGCAAAATCAAATTCAGTTCAATTGCAAAGCATTCAATGACAAACCGTCAATGCAAAAATCAGATTCAATTCAATAACAAACGTTTCCTGACAAACCGTTAATGCAGAAGAAAACTCAGTTCAGTAGTCTCATCTATAAGTCATGGCCAGCGTTTAACACCCACTAGCAGGCGTCAAAATATACCAATGTGTTCGCCCATTGGCAGGCGTTGAAATTTACCAATGTGTTCGCCCATTGGCAGGCGTCGAAATTTGCCAATGTATTCGCCCAGTGGCAGGCGTCAAAATAAACTAGTCATATCAGTAAACATGTCGACATGTGCTAGCGTTACTCCCACTAGCGGGGATCAGAAATCATGACTATATCAGAGACAAAACTATGCAGGATTTACAGAAAATTCGTAATTCACAAATAAATCTTAAAATTCAAAAATAAACCGGAAAACTTCCATGAGAGCATGGATTTAACAGAAAAACTCAGAATTTACAAAATTCTCAGTTCATCAAAACAGTTCAATCAATTCCAAATAGGCATGCTCTACTCAATGCAAGTGAAAAACAATTTTACGTGGGCATGCTCAACTCCAGAAAAACAATAAAACTCTCATTTTCATTCCAATCATGCTCAATTCCGGAAAAACAATGAAATTCCCACTTTCATTCCAATCATGCTCAATTCCAGAAAAACAATGATTTTCCCACTTTCATTCCAATCATGCTCAATTCCAGAAAAACAATGATTTTTATAAAAATCATCACAATTTTTATTTTAGTTTAATCACACTCAGATATTGATAAAATCAATTTAAAATCAATTTTACCTTGCCACCATCTCAAAACAGTTTAAAATATACTTTAAAATCAAAGAGCTTTACCATAATTTTACTTACCACACTTGCACCAAACAGAAGGCTTAACCCAAGTGCTACGGTGATAGAATGATCAAAACCTAATCATAATATTCCACAATTAATACCGCACCACCACAAATTTAAAGTAAAATCATCTTTAACACTACCCCTAATCACGGTGCTATTTCTATCAATCTCCACATAATCGGACATTTCCAAATTTATTCTTATATCACAAACTAAACATTTAAATCCCCGTTAATTATTGACCCTCGGTGTATGAACAGTATCCGTGAACAGTACCCCGTGAACAGTACCCCGTGAACAGTAACTTCAACCCCCAAAATTGACAAAACATAGCTAATTCACGGGGTTTCTCTCCAAAATCTCACAACAGTCATAATAAGCTAATTTTCTACATTAAGCAAGCTTAAAACCCATGTTTTAAGGCTGCCAAAACTCCTCCATTT